CCACTGTGGGTGTGGAGTTATCCACTGATAGAGAGAGGGACAGTGGCTTGAGGAAAGTGGAAATCCAACTGGAAGTCTATTAAAGATCAACAGAAGTCAGGTGTGGTGGCTCACACCAGTAATCCCAGCTGCTTGGGAGGCTGGGCTGGGAGGATCATTTGAGCCCAATTCAAACCAGCCTCTGACAAGCGAGACCTCATCACAGAGAGAGAGAGAGAAAGAGAGAGAGAGAGAGAGAGAGAGAAACAATGTCCCCGGCACTGAGGGCCCATGAAGACAGCCATTACTTATTATGTGTTATATAACGTCTATTGGGTGGTAACTATGTGGCAGGTGCTGTAAGTGGAATCTCTCTCTTAATCCTCACCCCCAGGTCACTAGAATCCAGAGCCCACACTCTTAACCACCTTTTTTATATGTCTCCCTTTATGATTAGGTGTATCAATACAGTTCATTCAGGGGAGCAGAGCCACTATGGGTATTATGGTAATAAGGGCTTTATTACAGGAATGAGACTTTACCCAAAGCCTGAAGGAGCTGAGGAAGTGAAAGTCAGCAAGGCACTGTGGGATAATCCAAGAGGAGAGTCACAAATGGGTGGAGGACTAGGTGAAACCTATCTGCTGGGCACCTCTGTCTGTCACAGCATATGACTAAAAGATTTCCACAGAGGAGTGGCTGACACTTCCACTCTGCCTTCCAGATCTCATCCCAGGTCCTCTTTTGGCCAGCTCTAACTCAGATCCTTGTTGGTAGGGCATTCTGGAAGTGTGCTTACCAGTTTAACCAAATTGATTTAGCACAATCCAGCACATTAGAAAATTTTCAATGTAGGTGAGATATAGATGACTAAAAGTCCAAGCTGCAGAAGAGTTTGGGCCACATTTTTATATGTGTATCTCCCTTTTTTAATGGCTGCATGACATTTTAGATAATATTGGTCAGCATTTTGTGTATATAGTAGCATTTACAAACACTGGAAAAACAGTAAATCCTTCAGAGCTGCAATTCAAGGACTAAGCAGTGTTTGGCATGCAGTAGATGCTGAGCAAACATTGAATGAATGAATGGATACTGAATGACTAGAGTTCCTGCAGGGCAACATCAGCTCTTATTCATCAACTCCAGCCGATATTTGAAAACTGCACAGGGGCAGGAAGTGGCCTCATTCTCCCAGGCAAGGGGGAGGTAATTCTACTCAACAATGTGCCACTACTTTCAGTCTTCTGGCTAGCACCCGAGTGGGATGAAAACTCCCTGTTTACTGCTTCCCAGAGGAACTGATCACCACCTCTTTGAGGTGTCTTCTTTGTTCATGATGATCTCCTTAATTGTACTTCCTCATGCATAAAGGTGGGGCCCCAACCCTCTTCCTTGGCCACAACTGATTGAACCAAGATTAGATAACTGAACATAGCTGGGCCAGTAAGATTCTCCCTTCTGGGAATTTGGAATTGGGACCAAAAAAATATGACATTTAACAAAACAAACATAAATAAGTAAAGGGGGCTAGAAAGATTATTACTAATGATATAAAGATAACTGACAGGCAATTTAGGCAAAAGATACTGAAATGACCAATAAACATACGAAAAGATGTTTAACTTCATTAATCAGCAGAAAATGCAAATTAAAACCACAATACGTTATAATTATAAACAGCAAAATGGATAAAATAAAAAAAGCTGACAATATCAGCTGTTAGTAAGAATGAGGGACTACCAGGAGGGGGAGGAGAAGAAAAAAAAAAAAAAGAAAAAGCGGAGAGCCGAGATCGCGCCATTGCACTCCAGCCTGGGTAACAAGAAAAAAAAAAAAAAAAGAAACTCGGGGAAAAAAAAAAAAAAAAAAAAAAAAAAAGAATGAGGGACAACCAGAACTCTCTCTCACTGAATATGGCGGTGTCAAATAGAACAATCAAACACTGTGGAACTATCAATTATTTGGGAATATCTGTCAAAGCTGAGCATATACACGTAACTTATCACACAGCAATTCCACTCTTAGGTATACACCCAAGAGAAATGCATACTTTTATTTACCAAAACACATATACAAGAATATTTATCGTAACACTATTCATTATGGCTCAAACCTAGAAACTTCCAAGTACATGGCGGTATAGTGGCATTGTGGAATACTACATAGCAACAAGAATGAGTGAACAACTAATTTGTTCAACCTGGACGAATCTCACAGATATGTTAAATAAAAGAAGTATTTACTATATAATTCCATTTATATAAAGAAAAGGCAAAGCTAATCTCGACTGTTGAAATCAGGCTAATGTTGCCTTTGGGGGATAGTAACCGGCAAGGAGCATGGAGGATTCTGGAGATGAGGATAATGCTGTTTCTTTATCCGAATCCAGGTAGCATGGGACTGTTCCCTTTGTGAAAATTTCATTGAACTGTACATACAATACTTCCTCATTTCCTCACTACCTACTATGCTTCACCATAAAATTAAAAAAAATAATTTCCAAGAGCTTTGTTACTGGTGGAGGGTATCCAGGTTCTTGACATTTTGAACAAATAATTGGACAAAATGCACAAACACAGCAAAGAAAGAATGAAGCAGATGTATTGTAAACCAAAGAACGCTCCACAGGGTAGGAAGGGCCTAAGCAACCAGCAATTATAGAATTTTCTGGGGTTTAAATACCCTCTAGAGGTTTCCCATTGGTTACTTGGTGTACACACTACGAAAATGAAGTAGTGGTCAGCGATCAGTCTGATTGGTTGCAGGAGGGGACCAATCAGAGGCTGAAGAGAAGCTACAAAGTTATAGCCTATGCAAATAAAGACTTGGCCTGCCACCAGCCTGATTGGTTGCCGGAGGGGACTTTCAACTTTTCATCTGCCACCCAAAGTGGGGGTTGCAAAGGGATTAGCCTCTGGTCCTTTTGTTACCTGAGCTGGAAAGTTGGGGTTTTCCTTTTGATTTAGTTCTAGGAAGTCAGCCTGAATTAGCCTTAGGTTCCCTGTCTCCAGACCCTATTCTCCTGCCTGTAACATTCAGGAAATTAATGCCTGCCTGCAGACAACTTCCTCATTTAACTTTCACAACGCCCCTGAGGCAGCAAGACCTTGGCAATGCTGAGAGCCTTTCAAGCTTTTTTGAATGGATATTTTCCAAGTCTGAGTTTACCTAGGTTAAGAAATGTAAGCAGTATTTTTTTTTTTTTTTTTTTTTTTTTTTTTTGGGACGGAGTTTCGCTCTTGTTACCCAGGCTGGAGTGCAATGGCACGATCTCGGCTCACCGCAACCTCCGCCTCCTGGGTTCAGGCAATTCTCCTGCCTCAGCCTCCTGAGGAGCTGGGATTACAGGCACGCGCCACCATGCCCAGCTAATTTTTTGTATTTTTAGTAGAGACGGGGTTTCACCGTGTTGACCAGGATGGTCTCGATTTCTTGACCTCGTGATCCACCCGCCTCGGCCTCCCAAAGTGCTGGGATTACAGGCTTGAGCCACCGCGCCCGGCAGCAGTATTTTTTTTTTACAGAAGTGGCTGCTGGAGTGGGGATTTGAATGGGTAGGACTTTAGCCGCTCCAGTAGCCATTAACGCCCCACCCTGGTTATCCTAAAACGATTCCATCCATTTAGAAAAATAAAGTGCTTAGTGCATAAGCGTGACCTCAGCCATCCTATATACACATCAACATAAGAAAAAGGTCCTGTGCTTTTTACTGGAACAGCTTCAAGACAGGTATCCGAACCCCTGGCTCCTCCCCAGTCCCCTTGCAATCAGATCCTTGTCTTCTAAAACCTGCCAAACGTAAGAGTCCTGCCTGAAGGCGGGTTTAGCCTGTTGACTCCTGGTTTTGACTCTAGTGATTTACTTCTGAGATTGTTATGAGGACGGGGTGTGGCAAGACAAGGCCAGTCCCGCCTCATCTGTGGCAGCAACGCAGGTCCCTGCCCTCCTGCTGAGCACACGTCACCAATAGCAGGACTCAAGTTTTATACACCGGCAAGTCTCTACCGCCGTTGCTCACGTCCACAGAACCCAACCAACCAGGTTTAAACGAGCTCCAGTCACATACCTGAGCCATCACCACCTTATCCTGAAGGAATTTTGGCTATTATGCAAATCGATTGACCAAACATTTATTTACTTATTCAAGACACAAACTAAGAGATGGGGTGTAGCCGATTATCTAATTTGTTAGTCAATATGCCAGCAGTGTGCAGGTAATTACAGGGAACAGGAAAAAGTTAAATTGGTTGTAGTCATTAGATTATTTTCCTACTTTAAAACTTCCATTTTCTTCCCATATTAAAATAAAAACCAGACAACAAGCACGGGTAGGGGGGTGGCGGAAATCTCCTCTTAAAATTAAAATTTCTAGGCCGGGCGCGGTGGCTCACGCCTGTAATCCCAGCACTTTGGGAGGCCGAGGCGGGTGGATCACGAGGTCAAGAGATCGAGACCATCCTGGTCAACATTGTGAAACCTCGTCTCTATTAAAAATACAAAAAATCAGCTGGGCATGGTGGCGCGTGCCTGTAATCCCAGCTACTCAAGAGGCTGAGGCAGGAGAATTGCCTGAACTCAGGAGGCGGAGGTTGTGGTGAGCCGAGATCGCGCCATTGCACTCCAGCCTGGGTAACAAGAGCAAAACTCCGTCTCAAAAAAAAAAAAAAAAAAAAAAAAATTAAAATTTCTATTAGTAATTTGATTTGTCTTCAATTATAAAATTTATTTTAAAGTTACAAACAATAACTTTAGGTGGATTGCAGAGTTATGTCTCTTTTAAAATGTTACCAATAAACAAAAACCGAGGAGCCACTCGCACTGCAACTCCTGTTACTAGCAAATTCTGCACTCTTGCAAAACTCTTCCCACAGCGCTTCTTTACAAACATCGCGAGAGCAGAGTAGTCTCCGGGCGCACCCCGTCGCATGTTCAACCCCTCCCACTTCCTGCCTGACGACCTCCTTACGTCAGAGGTGCGTTGGAGCAAGTGAGCAGCCGTACTTAGGACGGAAGTTCTCTCGGCGGAAGTGATCGCTGTGTGATTTGTGGGTGGGATGGCAGCGGGCTGCCTCTTTCTAAGTCGGCTTCGAGCACACTTCAGTTCCATGGCACAGAGCCCACTCAAGGGCGTTCCCACCTCCAGGGGCCTGCACGCAGGGCGCGGGCCCCGAAGGCTCTCCATCGAAGGCAACATTGGTAAGGGCCGGAAAGCGGCTGCCAAGCCTCGGCCTCCGCCACGCAGGTGACAGAGGCTGGGAAAGGAGCTGAGCCCGGAAAGCCCCGCGTCTAATGCGGCCGGCCTCTCCTTCTGGGGTGCCAGGAGGGCCTTTCCCCTCCCAAAGTGCACTGCAGATCTTTGCCTCCTTGATTTGTAGGATATCGGGCCTCTGTAGCCGCCCACAGTGACACGTGTTGGGGCATAAAAGCCACGCAGTTAGTAGATAGGACAACAATGTCATTAGCTGTTTGTAATAGATCGAAATTGAAGTGACAAGGGAGTGCAGTTTATTCTCCTAGATAGGGTTGCCAAATTTAGCAAAAACATTTTTTAAATACAGTTAAAATAGGATTTAAGATAAACAGCGAATAATTTTGAGTGTGTGTCCTTTGCAACATCTGGGACATACACCAAAACGACAATGAAATCACTCATTTAAAATTCAGATTTAACTGAGTGTCCTGTATTTTTATCTGGCGACCCTATTCTAATAGAGTTCCTAAACTTCAGTTGTTCAGATAACCACATTCACGATTTTTGCCCTGTGCCTGTGCTAGTTGCATAATAATTTAAGGCTTTTCTTAGAAGAACCTCACTTTTTAAACTTAAAAAGGCATGTATTAAAAATAATTTTGTTATAAGAGAGTCAGTATCTTAAATAAAAAGTAGTCAAAAAGCAAAATGAAGGCAAAGCATTTCAATTTCATGTTAATAAATTCTGACTTGATACCTTTTACCAAGGCACTGAGCCCTAAAAGGGACTTAGCAAGTGTTGAGTACTGAAGACATTCTAGCAGCAAACTGAGAATTTCTTTTTTTTTAAAATTCATTCCACAAATCACCCTTTGAGCCACTTCCATATGCCAACACTGTTCTTGGCCTGGAGAATACAGCCATGAATAGAACAAATAAATATCTCTGTTCTCTTGGAATTCAAATAGGGAGAAACAGACAATAAACAACATAAATTAAGCAAGGTGAACAATATGTTACAGAGTAATGAGTATGATGGAGAAAAATCAGGGATGACGAATTGAGGGAGGTTGTTATTATTTTATATTTTATTTTATTATTATTTCTTTGGAGATGGAGTCTCACTCTCACCCAGGCTGGAGTGCAATGGCTCCATCTCAACTCACTGCAAGCTCCACCTGCTGAGTTCAAGCGATTCTCCTGGCTCAGCCTCCTGAATAGCTGGGATTAGAGGCGTGTGCCACCATGCCCAGCTAATTTTTGTATTAGTAGAGACAGGGTTTCACCATGTTGGCCAAGCTGGTCTCCAACTCCTGACCCCAGATGATTTACCTGCCTCGGCCTCCCAAAGTGCTGGAATTAACAGGTGTGAGCCACTGCACCCAGCTGAAGTTGTCATATTAAATAAGCAAGGCCTCCCTGAGAAGGTGACATCTGAGCAAAAAACTGGAACAGGTGAGGGAGTGAAGCATGTGGATACCTGGAAGAAGAGTCTTCTAAGCAGAGTGAAGAGCAATTGGAAAGGCCCTGAGGTGGAAAGTGTGTTCAGGAAATAGGAGGGAAGTCATTGTGGCTGAAGTTGAGTGAGCAAGGATGGGAGTGGAGGGAAACGAGGGCAGAAGCCCAAGGAGTGGCAGATTTTATAGGCCTTATCATGAATGTTTAATCTTACCAATATGGGTAGCCATTGGGATGTTTGCAAAGTCAAGTGACAGTTTTACTTAGATTATAAAAAGATCACTCACTGTGGCTGATATGTTGAAAGTAAAGGGTGTTAGTTGGTATTATTGCAATAATTATGGTATGTTCTACCATTGTGAAAGTGGTGCGACATGATTGAATTCTAGTTATATGCTAACTAAAAGTTAAATTTTAAGTAAAATTTAGCAGAGGAAGTGGTGAGAAATGATTGGGTTCTAGTTAACTTTAAGATAGGGCCAATTGGATTTGGTGACAGATTGAATGCAGAGTGTGAGATAAAGAAAGGGGCCAATGATGACTCCAGTTATTTTGACTTGAGCACTTGAAAGATAGACTACTGATTTTCTTTATTTCCTCCTTTCCTTTCCCCTCCCTTCCCCTCCCCTCCCCTCCCTTCCCTTCCCCTCCCTTCCCTTCTCCTCCCTTCCCTTCTCCCTTCCCTTCCCTTCCCCTCCCTTCCCTTCTCCTCCCTTCCCTTCTCCCTTCCCT